ATGTCAGATACCACTATGCCAGCGCTGGCATAGTGGTATCTGACATTAGCGCATCAGGCCGTATACAGCCGGTTCAGCGAGAAAAAGAAGGCATTCATAGTCTTCCTAGTGTCATGGGCGGGGCTTATACCATGTACGTGGCATCTTCCTGCTCTGTTGTGGGCGCGTACGCCGCACACAGCGCGCACCATCATTGATTGTGCACTTCCAGTCTTCGTTAGTGGTTCTTTCGTCCCTTCAATCCCCCAAATCGCTCGCGACTTCGATACAACTGGTGCTGTTGTAAAGTGCGTCACTTCCTCTACTGCCCCGATAGGCTTGCTCAGACCGGAACGCCTTCCAGCTTAGCGGTCAGCCTGTCAATTTTGGCTAGTGCAATTGGGAGCTTGACATGGGCACGTTACTCTGGCTACTGTGAGTTGCTACTACGTTCCTGTCGGGCCTACGTCGAGATATTGACCTGTATCTAGACGGTCGTCGTCCCGTGTATCTTGCGGCATTCCCCATCCTCATCATCGGGTCCCTCGGCGTTGCGCGCTCCCGTAGCATTACGGAACTATACGCTTGGCGCGTCGTACAGGCATTCGGTTCCGGTGTCGGCTTCTCCGTCGGTGCTGGTGTCATTGGCGATATATACAAGCTAGAAGAGCGTGGAAAGGCTATGGGTATCTTCACTGCGGTACGCGTAGTAGTTTATCCGTCTTAGAGGCGCATGTACTCACACGTAGGTACAGGCATGTCTACTTGGGCCTGCAGTCGCCCCACCTACTGGAGGCTTCGTGGCATACTACTACTCCTGGCGTATCATGCAGATTGCGATCTTGTTCTCTGCCGTTATCGCGTTCTTTGCCTTGTATGCGTGGCTCCCGGAGACCAGTCAACCGAACACCAGGGGGATTGACAAGGACGGCGAGAGCGTACTAGTCGAGGAGCGCAAGGTCCAATTGGTCTTCCTCAACCCTCTCAAAGATCTCGCGCTGTTGAGGAGTCCTGTCATCTTGTCCGTGGTGCGTCAAAACTTGTTGTATCATGCGATCAACGTGTTCACTGACGTCCTTCAGTGTCTTGTCCAAACCTCGGTCCTGTTCATGGAGTTCCTCGCCCTGAACCCACTACCATACACGCTTGGTGAGGCCTTTGGCATTCATAACGAAGCCGTCATCGGAGCATTCTTCGTCCCTGCCGGCGTTGGCAATATCCGTAAGCATCCCATCCAGTCCCCTCTCTCACATTATTGATCCTCTTGCAGTCGGTGCGCCGATTGCTGGCCGTATCTCGGACCGTATCCTTGTGAAGGCGAAGAAGCGCCGTGGTGGCGAATGGGTACCCGAGGATCGCCTACCCGCTGCCCTTGTCGGCGCAGGCATCCTCGTGCCTTTTGCCATGCTCTTCTTCGGACTGACCACAACTTTCGCCTCGGCCAAAGTTGGCTCCGTGGTCATCCTCGCGGTGCTCTTCATGAACGGCATCGGAGTAAGTCATCGTTGCCGAACCAGTATCAAACGCTGTCGCTGAACTTGCTCGCAGATTGACTTCGCGCTCACACCCACTACCGCCTATACTGTTGACATCATGCATCACAAGAGCGCAGAGATCATGGCTGCGACTTCGTGCTTGCGCGGAACGGTGCTCGCGCTCGGTGTATCCGGCATCCTGCCCGCTATTGAACGCTTCGGGCTTTTGGTCACCTATACTGCCGCTGCCGTGCTTTCATGGTTGGCTTTCGGGTACGCTTTTGTCTTCATATTGAGCCGCTGGAGAACTGACTTGACCGCAGGCTGCTATTGGTCACGATCAAGTATGGCGACCGTATGCGGGCTTGGATAGACATTGGGTACTCCACCCCCGCAACGAACTAAAATAGGAGCATTGCAGTTCCTGAAATGATACCATAGAGGCGCTAGAGCCATAGCATAATGACATACATTGCATTGCATGCCATGACGGCGTGCATACATGAATTGACCAACATGGTCAGAAAGTAAACTTGATAGGCTGCTGCGCCAATCCGATTTCCGGCCCTTTCACTTGGACTGCGCTGTACTTGTGTCTGTGGCGTAAAGCTTGCGTTGCCCAGCTCCCTAAGACCCCTAGGACAAAGCAACCCAGCGAAGCAACGACCAATATGACGACCTGGCTTATAGGTATCCTGCGGGCGCGTGTAGAGAGGACCCGGGTGCCTGCTGTTATAGGAGGTGCAGGGTCGTCGCCACGCTCTATACGGAAACGTTCGAGCGATGCTGCTGGGTTCGTTAGGTTCAAGAGGCCGATACGCGGTGGTTGGTCTTTCGTGGCACCGTTGTGTGTTGCGTAGACGTTCTAAAACATAGCGTCAGAGACGGAGAACTGGATTGACGCGTAAAGCAACTCACCCTCAAGAACGTATCGCCTAGGATCCAGTCACCAGAGTTGACATGGTCGTTCGCCTGCACGCCTCCGACACACCACCCCGGCTCATCTCCACCAGGCACCCAGCTGAGATCCGTCGGATCGACCGCATACTCCTTGGTACTATTCTTCTCGCCCAATACAAAGCCGACGCTAACGGCCCTCTCGCACCGCACCTCCCACTGTCCCATCGCCGACTTCCTAGCCGACCCTATAGCTCCCCAGAACGCATCGACGTCGGCGCTCGGACCCAAGATGAATGTCGTGCCAGTGTCCAGTACCGCAATGGGGGTATCCGCATTTGGCAGGCGGCTCGGGGAGAAGCTCGAAAATGTGGCTGTCCCGTTCAGTGTGATGGACCGCAGAGGGAGCTTCCAGTAGTCCGGCTGATCGCTAGGTCCGATGTATACCGGCGAGTACGATAGCGCCTCGATGCTGTTGGCGTACATAGGATCGATCCTCCCTATACTCAAGGAGGAAGACGTTCCATTCCTGCCTAGAGCAAACGCGAAGAAGCGTTCTCTATCCGGGAGATACGCGAAGAGGTTTGACAAGAGCGTAGTCCCGACCGTCCGTGGAATCGTCGAAGCGGGCGGGAAGGACAGCCCGAGGATGCCGCTGTTCCCATTGTCCATTAGTCCGAGTCCCTCGGTCTTGTTGGCCAGAGCAAGCGTTTGGTTCGTGATCTGATAGGGTCCAAGAGCGACAGTTTCATAGCCGATTGTACCGGATACTGAGCCTTGGAGGTAGTCTAGGTCGAAGGGGACGTCGTTCAAAATCAGAGATGATGTGGCATTGTAGGTCGGTACGCCGGCGCAATCGCCGGAGGTACAGTCAGAGGATACGACCCACTAGACGGATGTCAGCTTTGTGGATGCTGGAATAGGTGACGGGCCTACTAGATCAGAGGAACCTGTATCGAGTATAACCTTCAGTACTTGTGCTCCAACGCTGCAAGGTATCAGCCTCAGAGTGTCCCTGTGCCTCATATACGAGTAGCTACCTGATAGAAGCTAGATACGAGCTAGAGACCGGAGTGAGCCTTCATGCGAGATTGACAGGGCTAGATCAACTCACAAACCCTGGGCGCTTGTTGTCGCTACATCGCTGCCTCCGCTTGAATTCGACGAAGCTTGGGCAGATGAGATGGCTACTCTATCCAGAGGCAGTGTAAAGCCGAGAAGAGAGGGCTCTGTCGGAATGCGGTCACTGTACGCTGATGTCGGTCGGACGCTCTGATTCAGGGAACCACCGAGAAGAGGCCAGGACTGCATGACGAGGACAGGTGGACCGTAGAGCGCACACAGCTCGTCTTATACACCTCTCGCGGTCCAGCATAGTCGCAGTCTCGCCTGGTAGGATGCATGGGCCAGGACGAAACAAGAGAGGACTGGCGGCTAATTATCGAACGAAAGCTCGGCATTTGCCGTGAGAGTTGGCGTCGTCGTTGGCGGCCGGCGCTCGTGCCTTCTGCCCTCACCGCCCTCGCGTCCCCGTACTCCACCTTTCCCTCTCTCCTGTATATCCCACGATGCATACCAGCGAATACGACTACCTCTTCAAGCTCCTCCTCATCGGAGACTCCGGTGTCGGCAAAGTCAGTCTCCCCTGACATGTTCCACATTATATCATATTGACCGCCTGTTCCAGTCCTGCTTGCTGCTGCGTTTCGCAGACGATACCTACACCGAGAGCTATATCTCTACGATCGGTGTCGACTTCAAGATTCGCACGATTGAGCTCGAGGGCAAGACCGTGAAGCTCCAGATTGTGAGTCTTGTTCCTGGTCCCGGGGTTTCGTGGTCGGAGTGTGGCATCACGCGCCGCAAGGGATATAGATGATGGTCGAGATTTGTTCACAATCGACTATGCATCGTCTAAACGGGGGAGTTGGAAAGTAGGATGGACATGCAGGCTGTGGCGGAGTCGAGTTGTCAATTATGAAAGGCAGTGCTGACTCGTGTTTACGCGTCGCTGTAGTGGGACACCGCAGGTGCGCACATTCCAAATTCGTCTGCTTCCACACAATATTAATACCATAATATAGGCCAGGAGCGCTTCCGCACCATCACCTCTTCCTACTACCGTGGTGCTCACGGCATCATCGTTGTTTACGACGTCACGGATAACGGTTAGTCTGTATCCATCCTAGTTCATATCAGTTCTCACGCTTTCGCAGACACTTTCACGAATGTCAAGCAGTGGCTCCAGGAGATTGACCGTTACGCATCCGAGGGTGTCAACAAGCTCCTTGTCGGTAACAAGAGCGATCTTACTAGCAAGAAGGTCGTGGAGTACAGCGTCGCGAAGGTATGTGGTCATCTGGATTTGCCGCGGACCACTTTGCCGATCACGTTTCATGACAGGAATTCGCGGACCAGCTCTCCATCCCCTTCCTCGAGACGTCGGCGAAGAACGCGACGAACGTCGAGCAGGCTTTCTTGACCATGGCGAAGCAGATCAAGGACCGGTACGTTCTCCCGCTTACGTTCCAGAAGCATCGACATACTGATCGCCGATCTTCCTAGTATGGGCTCGACCCCGACGGCAGCGGGCACCGGCAAGTCCACAACCGTCGCACCCGGCCAGAGTGTGCAGCCACAGCAGGCCGGCGGATGCTGCTAGACTATCTCACATCGACCTATTTTACCTTGCTAGCGAGGAGAGGCCTGGCGCCGCGGATCGTGCTTCCTTAATTGTGCCTCTCGGTGTCGGTTCTGCCCCTCCCTGTGTTGCCTTAACTGTCGGACCACTCCCTTACACGTCTGTCACCCCTTACATCCCCTGCAGCTTATGTCTTTCCCTATTGATTTCTGTCGGCTCATGTGGGGACGGGCGCCCCGTTGGATTTGGATGGATTCTGATCATGTCCCGCGTGAAATGGCAGCTTCGAGGCGATGAGGCGTAATAGGGCGCGATGCAGGCGCGTGCTGAAAAAGGAACGTTGGGGCAACGTGAGTTGTTAGAATGACGCGACAAGCCACGCGTCGCGCGCGTCGCCCGTGTGAAGTGATAAGACTTGGCCGCGCTTGCCATCCTTTATAGCATCGACGTTGTCGCCTCGCTCTTATCCTCAACCACCATCTTCTGCCTATACGCACAACTGTATCATTAGGCTATAGGGACATAGTATGGCACTTGCACGCCCTAGGTATGCCCCTGGTCAACGGCCATTCGGGTCGCTCGGGGAACGGGTCTATGTGACTGTCAACGCCTTCGAAGTGAAGCAAGCGAAGCCCTCAAATTTCCACATATATGACGGTCAGTGGCATCGTCGGTGTACATATAAGTCTCTCATGCTGACACGGATTGTAGTCTGTGAGTTTTTCCTGTGCCAACCAGGGCCGCCAGGGCCGCCAGATATACAGGCGCTCATCGGCTATAGCCATCTTTCAGAGAAGCAAGCCTAATATCCCGGATGTCCTCGTCAAGACAGAAGATAACCCCATGCCGCTGAACTCGCAACGAGCGCACGAGATCATCGACAGGATGAAGGCCCAGAACCCAGATCCTTGGGCATCAGTGTCTCCGGCATACGATGGGAGGAAGCTACTCGTCAGCAATACGTCCATTCCCGCCCACTCTGCCAAAGCAAGTCCCTCTGTTGAAATGGTGATCTCATTTCTGACGTCTTGCTACCACAGTTCATGGCAAACATGTCTCCGAAAGCCGTGACCGATCCGAAGAATACGGGCCTATTCATCATCACCGTCTCTCTGGTGCTAAACGTCGATGCTGGGTATGTAATGCAGTTGTTACATTTACTATTCTCGTCGTGTGACTATCCTTCCAGCTCGTATGCGCGGCTTGTCAACGGGACGAGTGAAGACGACGTCTCCAAAGCGTTCATACAAGCCTTGCAGCTATTGCTTCGGATGTCTCCCATTCTTAGGTTCGTCGAATCTAGCCTGTGGTGCGCACACGATCACGACGATGAGACTACGTAGCGGTAATGGAGGCACACCTCATAATTCGCGTAGCGTTTTCATGCCTACTGGCAAGCGGCCTTCTCCGAGCAGCAACGGGATGTTCGAACTGTGGAAGGGGATATTCCAATCTGTTCGTCCTTCGATCAACAGACTCGTCGTGAATGTCGACACAGTTGCTGCTTTCATGTGAGCACATTTGTCTTATGTTACCTATTTCTGCACTGACATGCGTCCAGTTACACTCCCGGTCTCAATATAGCCGAGTTCATCGGAAGATCGCTCGGCATACGTGAGCCACGCGACTTAAATAGATTGGTCGATACCTCGGACGAATGGCGCATTGTCAAGACACTCGTCAAGCGCTTGGCTGTCGAAGCCACTGTCCCCCCACGGCAGGACGGCCTGCCTTACCGTCGGCGAACCATTCGGGACGTTATCGTGGATATCGGCGCATTTCAGTTCGACTGGGAACGCCCGCAGCATCCAACAGAACGGATATCCGTTAAGGTTAATTGGATATACCATCTTTTTGCGAATGACTTAGCTGACGACCATGAAGGACTACTTCGTAAGAGTACACCATAAGACCCCAGTGATCAAACTAGGTCTTCAGTTCGGCTCCAACAGGCGTCCCATTGTCGTACCCGCCGAGTACTGCATTATCGCCAGTGGACAGCTCTTAAAGCGCACCCTCACGCCTGAGCAGATGAAGGAAATGCTCGATTTCACGAAGACTCCTCCCCAACAGCGCCTTAGATCAATCCAAGACGCCGTCAATGGACAGGTGCGTGTCCTGTTCCCTTGCACGAATCGGCTGACACGGCGTAGTTTTTGAACTATGAGCAGTCACAATATGTCCAACAGACAGGCCTCGAGATATCCAAAACACCTCTCGAGGCGCGTGGGCGCATGCTCGAACGACCCGTTATCCGGTTCAAGCATGGGGACCCATTAAAACCGCAGGTCCGAGGAGCCATGCATGTCGCGCGAAATATGGAGTGGCTGAACCTACATGCAGGAAGATACCTCGTGGCGCATCATGAATCAGAATTTCGTCTTGACCAGGAGGTCTTGTTGGGCTGTTGTTAATTTCAGCGATGCTAGGGCCGAGCAAGTTTTAGCCTTTGCTCGTCAGATCCAGTTACGCTGTGCAGCGCGAGGTGAGCCCTTCCCATTACCTTATACCATATCTTCTTATGTGTGATTCGCGCCACGAACAGGGATGGAGGTTGGAGGCCTAGTCCACCCTGTGCTGAGAGGAAACAATCAAAACCCCCATCAGGTTTGTACTCCGTGTCTTCCTAATAGGTTTGCTCGCTGAATTTCTACCGCATTAGGCTCTTGACGAGGCTCTCATTCAATATGGCGCTGTAACGACCCGACGACCCGAGGAGACAACGCCACCGCTTGTTACAGAGATGATGATCCTCGTTGTGCTCCCCAGATCGAACCGTGGGGGAGAACAACGCAGAGCGGTGAAGTTATGGGGCGATTGTCGGAAGGGGGTTGTCACGCAGTGCATGGTTGGTGCGCGGTAGCACTCGCCACGAGTTGTGCTCATCGTATTTCAGAAACAAGAGAAGGCGGAGCAGCGAATTGATGAGCGGGACCAACGTGGTATGAAGAACATTGATCAGGTAGCACATCCACTCACAGTGGTGTCAATCCACAACTGACACAATCGACTAGTACTGCAATAATATGGCTCTTAAGTGAGTTCAGTATGCTGTGATCCTACGCGGTCGTTGTTATTCCACCAGGATCAACGCGAAGCTCGGTGGTACGAACTCGCTGCCACGCTCCAATGCGACTCAAATGGTGTGACTCCCACTGTACACGCGTGTGAAGGATGCTGATTCTTCGTCTAGTTACATGGGGGCTACTTCATGGTTCTTGGTGAGTACCTGTGATATCCTTCGTGCCGCCGTGTTTCAAATGCATGACGTGTTTCCTCGCCAGGGGCGGATGTTGGCCATCCTGGACCCGGAGTGACGGACAGGCAACCACGCTCCTTCCTCTTTCTTGCAGCTCGCCTGACGTGATCGATCGTAGGCCATCGATATGCAGTCTGACGGCATCTATGGACGCAGATGCGACGCGGTATATCTCCAGGACTTTCATCCAGTCACCCCGTCAGGAAACTATGGATCCAGATAAACTGGCACGCAGGGTATACGTGAGTGCGCTATGCCATACAGGATGTGGAATTTCGGTGACACTGTGTGGCAGGACTGTCTCTTGACCTTTGTGAAGACAAACAAGTTCGTTCCCGCCAACTTACTATTCTATCGCGATGGTGTGTCAGAGGGGGAGTTCGAGAGGGTCTCCGAGTTTGAGATTCCTGCCATTGACCGTGCGTGCGGCATCCATGATCGTGACGAGTGCTAACATGTTTCAATCTTCTCCTCGACACTAGTGGCGTGGAAGAAGTTCTGGGAGACTCAGTTGGGTCACATGCAGCAGAAGAACATTGGGTATATCCCTCAGGGAGAGCTTGAGATAAAGCTCATCCCTCGAGAGAGGGAATTCTGTCCTCCGCTCCAGCTCACATTTGTCGTCGTGGGAAAACGGTCAGTGTCATGACGTCTCACATCTACTATCATCTTGCACTGATCTGTCTCCAAGTCACCATGTCAAGTTCTTCCCCAGTCAAGGCACACCTACTGACAGAAGCGGCAACGTCCGCGGTGGCCTTGTCGTCGATCGGGACATAGTATCACCCACCTCTCTTGACTTTTATCTTCAAAGCCATGGGGGACTACTTGGAAGTATGTGTCTGCAGCCTCATGCCTCTGTCGACGCTGAAGAGATCACAGCGAGTCGCTCGTCGCACTACACGGTATTGCTGAATGGTGTCCGCCGGCCAGATCCCGATCATCCGGAAATGACAGTCGACGAGTGAGTTTACCAACGTCAGTAGCTCACTTCCTTCGGCTGATCTGTAACACCATCAGCCTTCAGTGTATCTCGCACTACCTCTGCTACGCTTACGCCAGGGCGACTCGGGCGGTCTCAATTCCCGCTCCGGTCTATTATGCTGATGTACGTGACGAGGACAAGCGCACTCTATCTCTCTGCTCACAATAGTTCCTCCTATAGCTCATCTGCTCTCGTGCCCGCTTTCACCTCAATGACAATGATCAGGCATTCTCGGACGGCGGCAGCGGTGCCTTTGATCAGAATTACTGGAACGGGATTTTCCGGGAGGTGCACGAAGAGCAGAGAAACCGCCCCTTCTTTATGTAGAAGTTTCGACGAGCCCATCCCTAGTATACAGGTCTTCGTTGCTCCATATTCATCTCTGAAATCCCTTGTCATTCCTTACCACGCACTTCCATGCACTATAGCGCCACTTGATGTAGCTTTCATCTGCTCCGACCCCATCCACTCTGTACTTGTATGCGGAATATGACCTGCTTCATCTTGATGACAGATGTCACGGCGTCCCGAGAATGATTGGAGTGTGGAACCCCATGTTCCTGTAGGCTTTCGCTACAGTCAACACCCCCATCCGTATCGCAAGCGTTAGATGTACCCCCCTGGTGGGATGCTACCAAGGCCCAGGGGTGGCATCCTCGGAGGAATCATATGAGATGCCTAGTTCGCATATGGCATCAGTAAGACTGGGATGCCCGTTGTACGTATGCGATACGCTCATAGGCACAGGAATGGACTGGCAAATCCATTCATATCGCCGCAACGGTTCTCATGTATGCCACATCGACGGCGTACGACGCCCATAGAGCGCAGGGAAGATCAAGCATAGCACATACGGGTGTATCATGTTCAGTTGCGTGGGCCATGACACCCGTACACATTCCTCGGTGTATCTGCCGCTGGTTGATGCTGTATCGAAGAGAACAGAATGCTACCACATCGCTTGACGGGCAGCTGGTCGCGGTTGAGGCGCTTAGCTGTAGCGAGAATCTCAGCGAAAGAACCCCGGATGAGAAAGAAGCAATTGACGGGCGGAAGCCCCTCCTGAGAACCCGACCTTGTGATCTTCATCGAAGATCAATGTGTAGTGCCGATGAACGATCATCCAACTGCATGTAAGATTCGCGATATGGATCGCAGAGGTTGCGGGAGCCCTGCGTACTGCCTGATGAGATACGGAAGGGCAAAGAAGCCCTAGCGCCGCCAAGGTCGTAGATGTTGCTAGACCATTCCTGAGGGGCGCAGAGCGCGCGCATCGGCGGAGCCTAGTCAAAACCTGCTTAATGACAGCATGTTAGTATAATCGGGCCGCGCGTCAAACGGACACAGAAGACAAAGCTCCAGCTCAAGGGCCGCACCCTGTATCACCGCGCACATGGGGCAGCTGACAGTACGCGCAGCCCTGTACGGATGTGTTCATGCGCAGGCAACATGGAGAACCATAGACCCTCTGGGTGGGCGGGTATCACGATCGCGGGTCACCCAAGAAGAACGAGGACTATAGGGGCCGATACAGGCAATGTCGGTAGGAGCGCTTCGATACCCGAGTGAGACGTGGATGAGACGACACGACAAATGGCGACAGCGCAGAAGGTTCGGTTGTCAGCAGGACGAGTCGCCGAGAAAGACATCGAAACGGGGTGTAAATCCGATCTGTTATTTCGGCGTCACGCCGCGTGTGTCGCTGCGCAAACTCTCTGCCGTGCAGGACCAAGACCTATGTCAATCTCCACACCTGTCCAAGTGTGCGAGAGAAGATCCCGGTCCAACTTAACCGTGTACACGCGAAGATACATATCGTCGACCGTGAAATCGCCACGATGGACGGGTGCGGTCATACGGGCGCTCGTTGCAAGCAGTGTATGGGAAAATATCAAATGTCCGATGACAATTGGGGAAGGCACTATACGTTCAATGCGGTGAATAGACTACGGGACAAAATGCGTGTCGTGTGCAGATGCGCGGGCAAGATGATGTTGTGTTCTGGGCAGGGCTCTCATCAGTACGCGGCGGAGATGAAAGAATATCGGGCTTACGGATATTGTACAGTGGTTGGGTGCTATGTATGCTTCGAGAAAACTACGGCTGCGCGTCTAGAGTACGAGGGTGCATCGGAATAGAACGAATGGAGTTGTTCGCGCCCAGCGCGGAGCGATGAGATTGTGGCGCGTTCAGCACGAGAAGCGCCGCGTCGAGAAGACGTTATTCAAGGAAGCCGTCGGGAGCCGCCCGCGTACGGCGTGCTCGGTCGCTCGTCGCTTTCCGGTGTAGCCGCTTGACCGGTCATCGGTATCCGTCGGCTCGTTCTGCAGTGCCTCATCGCAGCGTTTCCGCTTGGAGCCTGCTGCGCAGGTGTATGGCGGGCGTGAAAGGTCCGCGTCGGGATCGGGCAGTTCAAAGCTATTCAAAAATGCGGGTGGGCGGTACGGTAGCGGCTTGGGCGCTCGTAGAGGGACATTGCAAACGACATGCGCTACCGGAGGGTTCGGAGTGGGGGGTGCTTGAGCGGGAGAGCCGGGCTCCGAAGGAGTGGATGAGGCTGGACATGGGGTAATCTTAATCAGTTTCCGCTGAGGGGAGTTCGTGCGGGCGCGGCTTACGCTCAAGTTCAGGAACGCTGAGTCTATCGGGCACGGACCCAGCATGGCGGGAGAAGGCTGAGTGGGGCACCGAAAAGGTGAATGCTGCCTGCGGTAGCTGCCACAGTTGTAGACGTGACGGTCCGCAAGACTGTTGTGGCAGAAAGTTGTGTGCGGCGTAAGTCTGCGATGGCGGTATTGACGGCGGCGAGGAGTAGTACATCGAAGGCGCGGGCTGATACCACATAGGCGGCGATAGCTGCATCGGGTCGAAGGGGCGCAGGAGATGTTGCATGGTGGCAGACAGTTTGGGGGGCGGAGAAGGGCACACCTCCCAAACACTAGATTGATTCTTATGGCCCGCGGCAGGAGAGGCGTGGGAAATGGCTGTGGACACTTTGCACTGAAATAGTTCGCATAATAGCCGGCTAGGGCGCATGGATGTGGGAGGCCCGCAGGCGCCCCGATGTTCGATGATGGCGCGGATTCAGAAAGGTTGCCTGTACAAACACGCATGCGGCACGGTGACCGCTCCACACAGCCAGGGAAGCGGTTGATATTACGCTTGTCGGAAAGCCATTCAGCAGATCGATCGCTTAGCCCGTACGCAAAGAAAAGAGGACCGAATGGAGAGGTGGATGGGGGAAAGGCTGTCTGAATTAGGCTCCCATCGCGACAGTTCACTATATCCGGCTTTGTTTCACGCCCCAGAGCGGTACTACATTTGTCGCTTAGGGGCGCTCAGCAGGACAAGTCAGGGCACCACAGGGCACAAAGACCATGAGCCAAGTCAATCCAGGTCAATCCCGGCGGTTTAGAAATCAGCGTGCACGAGGGGATCGCGGCCGTCGCAGTCAAACTATGGAAGCCGACAGAGGTCAGCTTCCAATAAGCTTTCGGCCCGCCGTTTCCCATCACCCGCAGCCGTTCCCCCTCGAGAGGACTTTATAAAATGCCGGAATGCGTCCTTTCCGATATGATATTTGTCCACAGGCCGGCGGCGGCACGGAGTTCTCCGAGACGCGCCGTGCACTGTGTGCCCATCAAAGCCGCGCCGCGCGCCCACCACGCGACCAGTCCAGCTCGCTATGGGACACAGCGAGCTCGCGTACCTCCCTCACCATGCCGTAGATACCCCAACATGTATATATGTACGGGTAGGTATTTAATAGCAGAATCTAATGGTGCAAAGGCAAAAGTAAATTAAGCCACG